CTCCAATCTGGGACTCCATCACCACTTTCCAAAAACCCTTGGCACACCCCCTTTTCGCACTTCCAGGCCCACTCACACTCTGATTAGGAAGTCGCGTCGGGCGTGAGGTTTGGGCATCACAAGGCGTCACAAGGTGACCTGAAATGTGAGGATGGGACTCTATGGACCGTGTTATTCATGAAGTTGGTTCCCCCCCCCCCCCCCCTAGTGAAGCAAGGTTGTTCCTGATCCAATGCGCTCGTGTCCGACCCTTCACCCGGGAGAGTGCCACCCATGAGACCCGGTACCGCTGTCCTATGTGACACCCGCGGCCTAGGCCGCGGGCATTTCGGCCGCTGCGGCCGAGAATCTCAGCCGCAGCCGCGGCCGATGAGGCCCAATCCGCGGCCTGTTTTTTTAATATTTTTCTTTTACCCCTAAAAACACGTAAAAAAAAATAAAAAAAATATGGGGGTGTAGGGCTTGGAAAACCCTACACTCCTATATTTGTTTTTTTGGAATCCGACTTTGTTTAAGATTTAAAAAAAATCAAAAATTAAATTCGATTTAAACAAAATATATATATATATATATACAGGGTCACCAGCCCGTACGTACGGAGGTCCCCGGGCAGACCTCGGTACGTACGGGCGTTCGGGGTCCCTTACGGAGTCCGAACCCGACGGCGTTCGGCCCCCGCCAAAAATTATTTCGGGGCCTAAAAATAATTTTTTTTTTTCTGAAGTGTTTTTTGTGAGTTCTCTATGACGTGAGGTACATGCCTGTAAATTTTCAAGTCATTTGGCTAAGCCAAATAAGAATTAAAATTCGCGAAAGATGGCAGTTTCAAAACGTGCTCGCCCACATATTTTTTCACATTTTACTTTTTGTTTTCACTTTAGTTCGGGGTCTAAACAATTTTATTATTTTTTGAAACTTTTTCAGTGGGTTTTGTATTATGTTAAGTACACATCTGTAAATTTTCAGGGCATTTAGCTATGCCAAAAAAAAAATAAAAGTTGCCAAAGACGGCGGTGTCGAAAACATGCTCGTGCACTCACTAAATTTAATTCTTTTTATTTTTATTTATTTTTATTATTAGTATTTGTTTTCGGTATTTTATTTTTGTTTCAAATTTGGTAAGGAATTCGGATGTAATGCTCAGGCAAATCTTGTTTAATTTATTTTTCTCCATAACATATCTTTTTTTCAGAGTTTTTTTATGACGTTTTGTTTTTCTTTTTTTTTTTTTGGGTCCGCGTTTGGCCCGAACGGCCGAACGCATCCCCAAGGGGTCCCATACGTTCGGGCGTTCGGGTTCGGGCGTTCCGCCCGTCCCGAATGCTGGCAACCCTATATATATATATAAAGAAAAGCAGGAATTTTTTTTTTCATTTTTTATCATGAGATCTCTGGTCCCTGAATTGACCTGTTCTTTTTTTTGAAATAAATTTCTGTTTCTTGCAGGGAAATGAGGTGTTTAAAAAAAATGAAGATGCAAAATTTGAAAACAAATAAACAAAAAAAGGGTTTGATTGATTGATTGATTGATTAAGTGTGAGAGTGTGTGTGTGTGTGTGTGTGTGTGTGTGTGTGTGTGTGTGTGTGTG